CACTATAAGTAATTCACTTAACAACCACGGCAAACAGGTTGTAAAATTGGGTGTGACCCGCTTAATAATTGCCTTGGTTAACAATGGAAATTCTGGTCTCAATTGTGGTCATACGTTGAGGACTACCTTTAAGTGGTAGGGGACTGAGAAAAACCCGATTTTCCTGTCTGGGTAATAAGGATACAGCACAACGTCATCGTCTTGCAATATGGAGACAAACTATTTCTATTCCTTAATTTTAGAACTAATGTAGAAAAGGAAAAGGTTTCTCACCATGAAAAATCACTAATTAGGCATTATGATCTTGTATTTCTTGTCAAAGAGAAGGATTATCCTTTTGTACTGAAACGAGTACCGTTGCCACAAATTACAAACACATGCTGAAGTCCCCTGCATTGCTTGGACAATTGAAGGCTTGTTGGTTGTTGAGAGTGTGGTTGCGCAACAGCTTCCCCAGCACCTGGATGAAACGACGTATCTGGATCCGTTCCAGTCGGGCTTCAGGCCCGGGTACAGCACGGAAACGGCATTGGTCGCGTTGGTTGATGATCTCTGGAGGGCTCGGGACAGGGGGTGCTCCTCTGTCCTGGTCCTGTTAGATCTCTCAGCGGCTTTTGATACCATCGACCATGGTATCATGCTGCACCGGTTGGAAGAGTTAGGGGTGGGAGGCACCGTGTTGCGGTGGTTCTCCTCCTTTCTCTCTGACCGGTCGCAGTCCGTGTTGACAGGGGGACAGAGGTCGACCCCGAGGCCCCTCATATGTGGGGTGCCGCAAGGGTCGCTCCTCTCACCTCTCCTGTTCAACATTTATGTGAAGCCGCTGGGCGAGATCATCCGTGGTTTCGGGGTGGAGTACCATCAGTACGCTGATGACACCCAGCTGTACATCTCCACCCCGGATCACCCCAACGATGCCCTTGAAGTGATGTCCCGGTGCCTGGAGGCCGTACGGATCTGGATGGGGAGGAACAGGTTCAGGCTCAACCCATCCAAGACCGAGTGGCTGTGGTTTCCGACGTCCCGATATAGCCATCACTGACTATTGGGGGCGAATCATTGGCCCCCACGGAGAGGGCTCGCAACTTGGGCGTCCTCCTGGATTCACGGCTGTCTTTAGAAGAGCACTTGACGGCCGTGACCGGGAGGATTTTTTATCAGGTCCGCCTGATTCGCCAGTTGCGTCCCTTTCTGGATCGGGACTCGTTACGCACGGTCACTCATGCCCTCGTCACCTCCCGCCTGGACTATTGTAATGCTCTCTACATGGGGCTCCCCTTGAGGAGCACCCGGAGGCTCCAACTGGCGCAGAGTGCAGCCGCGCGGGTGGTAATGGGAGCGACATGGCGCTCCCATGTAACACCTCTCCTGCGCGAGCTGCACTGGCTCCCGGTGGTCTTCCGGGTGCGCTTCAAGGTTTTGGTTACCACCTTTAAAGCGCTCCATGGCTTAGGGCCTGGTTATTTACGGGACCGCCTACTACCACCAATAGCCTCCCACCGGCCAGTACACTCTCATAGAGAGGGACTCCTCCGGGTGCCGTCAGCCAAACAGTGTCGACTGGCGGCCCCTAGGGGAAGATCCTTCTCTGTGGGGGCACCTACCATCTGGAATGAGCTCCCCCCGGAGATACGGAGGATCCCGGATCTGCGTTCCTTCTGCCGTGCTGCGAAGACCTTTTTATTCCATCAAGCGGGCTTGGCCTGATCTCTTCCCTTTTTAAAATATGTAAATTTTAATCTGTTTTTAAATTATTGGGGTATTTTAATTTGTCTGGGCCAAAAAGTTTAATTTGATTTTATCGGGTTTTTAAATTTTGTGTATTTATGTATTTTATTGTTGGCTGTTCACCGCCCTGAGTCCTTCGGGAGTAGGGCGGTATACAAATCAAATAAAACCTAAACCTAAAGGCGAAGTCACGGTTTATCCTTATTTTATGATTTTTAGCTTCTTCGGAAAGAAAATAGTTGAACCTCCAGTTCAGACATAATCTTATACAATCCATGGGTAGATGATGCACCTTTTGCTTAATGGCTTCAATTGGCAGGAAGAGCCAAATAAAAATGATTAAAGTACTACAGCCTTTCCTTATTGTTGCGTCCAAGCCAAGGTGAACTACAGGAAATACCCTTGTCATTAAAGAGTCAACCAAAGCAACCTTTATTGCTTTTCGTAGCTATCATAGTGCAGGTGTTCATTCAACCGAACACTTAAAAGTACCTGTGGAATGTAAGCAGGCCCTGAGCCAAAAGAAAGGCACGAGGAATTTGAAACCCGTCTTAGTGCCTCCCGGGGCATTATATAATTAAGCAAAAAGTGATTTGTATTAATTGCATAAGCCTTAAAACTAGGGTGATGCCCCGAGACAAAAACGTCCACGGGATGAAATAAAGTCTAAGTAAGGAATTTGGTATACAGAAGAAGGCAAGAAACAACACGGAATAACAGTATCATTAAGACATCTTAATGTCACACCTTAAGGGACAACTCACAAGACTAGTTTGGCTGAACTCTTATTTCTTCCTCAAGGTTTAATTCACCACCACCTAAATAGCACATACTCAGAGGAATGTTTTGGTAAAGTCTGACGTGAGAACATGGAATAGCCATAGGTTACTAGATAATAGCAATAGCATTTAGGCTTATAGTATACTGCCCCGTAGCTCTTTACAGCACTCTCTGGGCAGTTTACAATGTCAGTATCTTGCCCTCAACAATTTGGGTCCTCATTTTACCAACCTTGGAAGGATGGAAGGCTGAGTCAATCTTGAGCGCCGTCAGGATCGAACTCCAGGCTGTGGGCAGAGTTTGCCTGCAATAATGCACTTTAAGCACTGTGCCACCAGACAGTCACCCAACTTTAAATAAAATGGATATTCCAAGCAAACGATACTCTTGTTATATTTAAGGAATGCCAGAGGATTACTCTGCTTCTCCTTCCCCTGAGGTGAATAACCATTATTCTAAACTAGGCTGCTGAATAACAAATTGCACATGATGCTGTAATTCTATAATGGGGACCAAGGATAGCATAGCACAGCATAGCAATTTGAGTAACTTTTTAGTTCCTCTTACTCCTTTAACTATGTTTGTTTGTAGTTCCAGATTCCTTATTCACACAAATGCCAAAGTATAATGGAACTCAATTATTGTTATATATTTGCTTGCTTATTAAGTCTGTATAGCTGCCCAATTCATGATTGTCTATGCCAGGGGTCTCCAACCTTGGCAACTTTAAAACTTGTGGACTTCAACTCCCAGAGTTCCTCAGCCAGCAAAGTGGCACACAGAGCCATCTCTCCGGGCATGCAAGCTGTAGCCTGTTGCTCTTCCGGGTTCCAGTGCGCCGGCCAGCAGGTCTTCACATACAGGAGTGCTGGAAACTGGAAGAGCAGCCACCTGGTGCACATGCACTCCGGGCAGTTGCTCTTCCGGTTTCCGGCACGTGCATGCACACCGGCCACCTGGTCTTCCGGTTTCTGGCATGCATGAGCACATGAAGACCAGCTGGCAGGCGCTGGAAACCGGAAGATCATATTCCCAGGGTGCGCATGCGCACTGGGTGGCTGCTCTTCTAGTTTCTGGCACACGCATGCGCACTGGCCAGTTGGTCTTCGTGCACTCATGCGCACCGGGCGGCTGCTCTTCCCGTCTCTGGCATGCGCGTGCGCTCCCATTTCTGCACTCGGTGCCAAAAAGGTTCGCCAACCTTGCCTTAAAGCATAAGCTGGAAGATGCAATAATAATACACATTCTAACACATGGTGCATCACCTGCTTAGAGTATTATTTATGTTAAGATACTTTTTTCCCAGTAATGGCAAAAATTAAAGGATGAGAGGGGACAGAATAGGAGAGTTTATTTAAAGACACCAAAACCTTTTAGTGAACTAGTTTTTTTGATACCAAAATTTTCTGGGAAAATTTAAAGACTGGTTCTTTTCTAAACAAACACTACAAAAATAGCAAAATACCTCTGACTGATGTCAAAATACAAAATTACAAGCGGGGTAGATTCATTATAGAATGCAGTGCACAAAATTGTGGTGTTAGACAGAAGCTTACATGTAATAATGTAAGTATTTCAGATATGATCTATGAACTGAAGGAAATCTTAGACATTTAGGCTTATAGCTAATTATGTGTATGCAAAGTTTCACTCAAGCAAGAATTTATTGTTTGTCCCCTCCGCCACTTATTTCTTCTCCTGGAGAAGATGTGGGAAAACTGGCCAGGCCAGAAGAAATTTTCCATCAGACAAAGTGATGTGATCAGACAACACCATTCTAAATGCCGTAAGATGTTTATTGACTCATCATTAATAAATATCAAGATGTAGATTGAAGTCCTGGAGATGGAATATTCTAATGCTCATACAGAAGTAGTTACAATTAAATTAAATTTTTCAAGAGTCCTCCACTCCTCTATTCACAATAGAATCCCTTTTGCCACTAGGCTTGAAATTTTGGGCTTGGACAATCTTGGAATTGCGCCGCCTGCAGTCTGCGCCTGCATAGTAGACAAAATTGTCTGCTACAACGTCTTACCTGTCAACGACTTCTTCAGCTTCAACCTCAATAATACATGGGCAAACAATTGATACAAACTCAAGGTAAACCACTCCAAACTCTATTGCAGAAAATACGACTTCAGCAACCGAGTGGTCAACGCCTGGAATGCTCTACCTGAGTCCGTTGTTACATCCTCAAATCCTCACAGCTTCAACCTCAAACTGTCTACCGTGGACCTTACCCCATTCCTAAGAGGTCCGTAAAGAGGACGTGCATAAGCACACCAGAGTGCCTATCGTCCCTGTCCTACTGTCCCCATTTATTTGTATCTGTTTCCTTCGTACATGTCCATATTCATATTCATACCTGCTTTCTTGTACACATTTGACAAACACACAAACAAACAAACAAACAGTTTCTTTCAGAAGTGGTGCTGTGCTGGTTCTTATAAACAAAGTGTTTATAACAAACATTGTTTGTTTTGTCTTACCATCATGTCCAGAGTTGAGAAGATGCTCTCCAAGATCACAGCCAAAGACCCTCTCCTTTAAGATCCCACGCTGTTTCAGTTTCTGCTTTGTTGGTCGAGACTTCATGAATGTTCGCAAGAAAGTAATAAGCTTGCCGTGTTTTTTGGACACTGTCAGATTGAAATAGAAAACTCATTTTAGGGGAAGATAATTGCAAAGATGTTTTATTAATATGGGCCTAGTCAATAAGAATCAACCCTGTTGCTCTATTGGCAATTTAAAACAACCTTCTCTTTTTCTTTATCTTTTTCCCACTATCATTAAAAATAACTGATTCAGGTGAAGCAGAATCTGTAACAAGAGATTTATTTAAAATAAGGCACCCAGAGTAGCTTCTCAAATTCCATATACTTGTAAGACCATAGGCAACGGACAGGAAAGGAAAGACAGCATAAAAACAGGTGATGCAGCTCCATATTTTGTCCCATAGTTTTCCTATCTACTTTCGGAAATCCAGAACGAAACACTGGGTTAACCATTTATGAGGGGAAATTACACGCTCCATTCCTTTATAGCTATATATAGCTATAGCATAGTTTACAGCTATAGCACAGTTCAGTGGCCAGCCTAAGGACTGATATTGATCCCTAGCTTGCATCCAAATCCATTTTCCCCAACAGGATTAAAAACCTTTCAGCCTCTTCTGAGAAACCACAAACATTTAACTTTGGAGATGAATTAAAGGGCTGCTAAGCTTCTACAATGCTACTTACTTTATTTGTTCATTTATGGTGCTTCCATAATGCAAGAGTCAACAACAACAAAAAAAAAAGAATCTTGGCCGTTTACAGTACTTACATGACTGATGGGTAGCAACTGATGGCTACGTTTGCACAATCCGTTTACCCATTAAACAAACTATTATGTCTGCAATTTGTTGGGTTTGCATAATGCACTGAATACACAAGAGTTCCTACAACGTAACTCCCAACTAAAATGGGTTGACTAGTTTGTGCAAACACAGCCATATGTTTGATTTGCTTTTTGCTTGGTCGTTAGCACTGATACGTTCTTAAGCATCTTTGGTATTTTCAAAATATACAATCAGATCATTCAAACTTTAAGTTCAGGCACCCGACGAGAGTACAGGACTGGTTAGAGCCAGGTGACAATCTGGCCCTCCCATTTTTGTACTATCATTGTTGATTGGATAGCAATAGCACTTAGACTTATATACCGCTTTACAGTGCTCCATAGCCCTCTTACAGAGTCAGCACATTGCCCCCAACAATGTGGGTCCTCATTTTACCCACCTCTGAAGGATGGAAGGCTGAGTCAGCCTTGAGCCTGGTGAGATTCGAACTGCCAAACTGCAGGCAGCCGGCAGGCAGCAGAAGTAATCTGCAGTACTGCACTCTAACCACTGCACCACCGTGGCTCATGGATGGCTGTCCTTTAATGATAGGAGTATATGCAAAAAAAAAAAAACAACACACACAGACACACATTTCCTACATCCTCTCTTTCAGTTTATATGATAGGGAAATTGAGAAAGTTGTACATTACATCTAATTATTTTTCAATTAGTGCTCAGCTATTATAATATTTTATTACTGGGTGATTCACTTGTTTTGATTTTTTTTTTTATTTCTGTATTCATCTTGATATGATTTTAATGCTATATGGCTCCCTTTTAAGGAAGTATGACACACAAGCTTCAACAGGAAATCAGAAAATAATCTCACAACTTTGATATTGGGGAAAAAAGACATTATTTGGGACAGTTGTTGTTTTATTTCCACTAGAACAATAAAATAGTATAGCCGCAAAGGTAGTAATATATGGAAAATTGCTCCTGGAATCAAGAATCTGTAGGAAGAAACTGAAGAGCATTTGCTATTTCTTCAGGAATATTAATTGCATGGTACTGAATAGGATCTTTAAAAGCATAAACCTGGAGTGTTCACACACCAAGTACAGTGGTACCTTGGTACTCAACTGCTTTAAAATTCATCAAATTTGATATTCAATGCATTTTGACCTGAAAAATTTGTCCCAGTACTCATTGTTTGGTACTCAACACACAAGCTAGAGCTTGTCAATATCAGCTGTCTTGTGACTCACAACATTATTCTTTATGGGGGAAAAATTGTTTAGTACTCATCGTTTTCGGTATTCATTGCGCCTCCTGGAATCAATTAACGATGAGTACCAAAAGTATCACTGTAACCTCATAACCCACAAGTATGCAAGTAATATATGGGCTACAAAATGAGAAAATAATACATTTTAAAAGCAACTGGCCTATGAAAGAGACTGATTGCCTTTGTTTGGCAGCAAATCTCTAGGGATATTTTATTGAAATAAAAGCTAAAATATGAAGCAAATTGTCTAAGGATTTCCTACGTCTCCAACTTTTTAGTATCATGAAGTTATCAAGGCTCAATTGTGCAGTGGTATGAGTAGTTAGTTTATTTGAGCTTGCCTCCTTCAAGGCAAAAAGGAGTAAATCACTGACTCTTTTGAAACAGGTTGTTGTGGCAATCAAACTATCGCAGAGATTGTGTGAGGTGAGGAAAGCATCCTGAATTAATTTCAAAGTAATTATACAAGTGTGTTATTTTACACAACTGAACCCATAGGCAATTCTGAGGAAAAGACGCTTGTATTAGGTAACAGGGTGGTTAATCAGATTTTCAGTTTGTTAAAGAGGGGAGGAAATCATAATCATGCAAACGTTTGTCAAAAGCACCCCTGATAGGCACACAATGTAAGTGTAAATTTAAGGGAAGTGATTGATGACAAGGGACGAGGTATTTCCTTCCTTCCCTTCCCTATTCAGGATAAAGTTCAAGTCATTAGCATTTCCCCTAGTTCCTTGGTTTTTTTTTTTTTTTCAGCTACCATTTTTAACATCTCAGCATAAGCTAGAACCACAGTAGATATTATTATTATGGCAACATGGCATAGAGGAATTTGGGGCAAACATGACAGCCTTTGTGAAAAATGCCAGTGTTCTTACAGAAATGCTTTGGAGAATAAAAACATGCCATTACACAAGAGAAAAGGAATGTGGGTGAAATTCAGCCCTCTCCTTGCTTAATTTGGAATAAGCTTCTCTCTGCACTTTTTGCTTGATTTTGGAACATCACAAAAATTCAAATTGGATCACGCCCTCTGGTTCTAATGAATACGCTTTGTTGAATTCCTCTCGGTCAGTATGGTGGTTTGCTGAGAGCTCACTTTCCTGATCTTGACTTGTAGACCAGGGTGTCTGCAGGGTGTAGTTTAAAAAAAAAACGTTTAAATGGTGGTCCTGACAATGCAATTGAAGCTCATCCATTCTTTAATTGTGTCCTTGCAGAGATCCCTGGAAGGGACCGAGCTGACATGGTACTTTGATTCTTGGCACCGGATGAGAGAATATGGACGGAGCTTTTCTGCCTCTCTTTGAACTCGCTGTTTAATCTCACTAACTTAATTGCATGGAAAATGAAAATATTATTAATAGAACTGTTCCAAGAGAATAATCTGACAACCTGCAAGAAAACTTTAAATTACCAGTAACTACAGTTTAATAATAATGCTTTTCTAAAACAAAACTCTGGGAGGTTTCTTATTATAGCAATAGCACTTAGACTTATATACCGCTTCACAGTGCTTTTACGGCCCTCTCTAAGAGGTTTACAGAGTCAGCATCTTTGCCCCCCAACAATGTGGGTCCTCATTTTACCGACCTCGGAAGGATGGAAGGCCGAGTCAACCTTGAGCCTGGTAAGGTTTGATCTGCCAAATTGCAGACAGCTGGCCTTTCTTATTATATATTCTCTTAAACTAGGGGACTGTATTCATTTTCAATGAGTATAACCAATAATTTTGCTTCACTGTTTGCCACACTGAACCTTTATCAATGGAACGGTCTAAAATATACTTGGGATTTTATAACAATGGAGCACAATAGGCCTCAAGGACAAAAGAACCTCTCTAATTAGAATGATGACTGTATTCTTTGAGAATTGGCTGACTACAAGTATTACCTTTAGTCTAGATGTTTTATGACTATGACAAAGGCAGAACAAACAGAAAACATTCGTCCATTCGGGGCATTTTGAAAAAGCAGCTTTGCTATCTTTTTCTTATAATTAAACTTCAACGTATTTACTCTACAGAAGCTAAAAAAATTGTGAGTCTGATAGTACCTTGCCTGACTAACACATTTTATTGAAAGGCACATCCTTGTGTGAACTGCATTTTATGCCTTGCAATAAAATTAGTCAGAAACAGGTGCTACCAGACTTCTGATTTTCGGAACTTACAGGATATCGCTTGGCAAACAAGAGTAGGTGTGGGCTAATGGAATTTACGATTTTTCTACCCTGAGGAGTTCAAAATCCTATGCAGGGACCTTGTCATCAATAACAAACTGCACAGGTATTGTAGCTTTATAAGAGAACATTTCCAATTTCAAAAGTTTTATTTACAAGTCATTGAAATATGCCCTGCCCAAATTAATTCAGGGTAAAAAAATAAAAACAGAATACCCTTGCATCATCATAATCATCCTCATAGGCAATGCCTATTATTAAATCTAGATATTTAGACCAGTCTAGATCAGACATTTCGATCTGATGAATTTATAATGCCTTCTACAACGTAAAGATTGATATGAGTTACTTGGTACAGTGTTTCCCTGAAAATATGACTTACTCCAAAAGTAAATCCTAGCTTGATTTTTACATGTGCACCCAATATAAGCCCTACCCCCCAAAATAATCCCTAATTAAGACCTCACCCACTCCAGGGTGTACTATTAAAAATTAAGCTAGGATGGGGATGGGGGGCGGGTGGAGCTGCCCTACTACTTACCTTCAGACAGTTGCAACTAGGCTTTGCACACTCCAACACCTGCCTTGCTGGCCCATTTCTTCTGCAGCCAGCAAGGCTTCCCTGAATGCCTCTGCAGCCGATAACAGAGCGCCAGATCGACCCTTCAGGAAAGCCTTGCTGGCCAAAGAAGTTCCTGAAGGCCTCTGACAGCAAAAAGGAGGCCAATGGTGACACACGCAAGTGAGATGAGTCAGTGGACTTCACTCCCCCCCCTCAAAAAAAAAGACCTGGTGCCTTTTTTGGTGGCAAAAAAAATATAAGACAGGGTCTTATTTTGGGGGAA